TCACACGGTCACATTGTTATTAGCCAGCTGTCCTTGAGCTGTAGATAGTATAACGGTTCTCAGGATAGGGAAGTTCTCGTGAGACTTTGTGTGAAGACTTTGTGTGAAGAGGAGTAGTCTCAACCTCAGCCAAATCAGCTCTGTGGCCTTGCAGCGCTTGGGAATAAAACCCACAGTAGAGTATGAGAACAAAACAGCACATCTCAGGAAATGAGAAGCATTTGGTTTAACCTGTTAAACCCCGAGCCTGTTTTTCAGGTTTCAGGCTCGAAAATGACATTCCCAGAACAAATGACTATAACTTCACTTCTAAAAGGTTTATATGAATAATTATTGTTATCAAAGCAAGGTTACATCTGTGAGTTGGATGTAGAAGTGTCAGAATCAATATAGATTTTTCAGTGTCAGAGTAAATTCAGATGGAACATAGCAAAACAAAATGTAAATTCCTGTCTCCGCCTAAAGAAAACCCATTACTTATAGTGAAGACCAACCTTGAATGATGGGTTAGTAGCCTAAAATATTTAGGAATCCAAGGTATAACATATAATAAGTACCCTGTATCAAGATTGAGGCAAAACAAGTGACATTTTACCTTTTTAGAGAGGTTTATGAAAATAAAGTCCAGGCGGAATAAGCTTTGGGCACATTTGGGCACATTTGGTTCCATCAGTGCCATTTGACCTTTTTCAGGTACCAGACTATACAAATTATTGTATTACATTGAATAATCACTATATGTATTCATTCCACCCAAAAAAATAAATAAAAAATGTTAAATAATTTTTTTTTAAATATATTTTTGTGTGTGTGAGTGTGTGTACTAGGTGTGTGTAAGTGTAGGTGTGTGTGTGTGTGTGTGTGTGTGTGTGTGTGTGTGTGTGTGTGTGTGTGTGTGTGTGTGTGTGTGTGTGTGTGTGGTGTGTGTGTGTGTGTGTGTGTGTGTGTGTGTGTGTGTAGGTGTGTATGTGTAAGTGTAGCTGTGTGGGTACTGTATGTGTAGGTGTGTGTAGCTGTGTGGGTATGTGTAGGTGTGTATGTGTAAGTGTAGCTGTGTGTATGTAACTGTACCAACGCACTATACAATAAAACCACACTGTAGGTCATTGTGTGTAGGTGTACTTGCACAATAAAAAAAAACAGAAACATAGGTAACATTTGACTCCAACTGGGGCAGATTTATTTCAAACATTTTACCAACACACTATAGGCATGTAAAAACAGACATTTTACCAATGTACTATACAATCAAACCACACTGTAGGTTTGTAAAAACAACAAATATTTAAGTATAAGTATTTTTTTTTAAATAAACACTCGCAAAACGTTATACCTACCTGAACTTTATACCTACCTGAATGTTCCAGTATTTAGGTCGTGCCACTCCCTGAAACAGTTCTTTTTGACAGTGAAGCACAGAGGGACCTGGCACTTCCTGCAGTACACAGGTGTCTTCACCCTTTTGAGTCCAGCATCTAGGCACCTCCTACAGTTCTTCCTGACCTTGGTGGCATCTTCCCCATAATACTCGGACATGCATGTGAGTGGTGGAGGAGGGGGTGGGGGTGGTGGAGGTGCAGGGCCTTCAGCAAACTCCAACAATTCTGCAGCAAGCTGCTCCCTGAAAGTCTTCTGGGTGTGTGGCTTTGTCCTGCTGGGGTCACTCCTCATCTAACAAATGTGGAAAAACAAAGAGCTTAGATTAATTCACTGGCTTATACTTATAGGATAATATTGGATTATAAATGAATAATATTACACCAAATAAATAAGTAAACACATGTATATTCATTCACTGGCCATTCATTTAGAAAATGTAACTCCAAAAAGACAAGTAACACTATTTTGCATTTTGCCTAATCATTCCTGTAGCTTCTTGGCTAAACTAACACTGTGATGCAGTTCCACCAAACACAAAAGTAATATATAAAAAGGATAATATTGGACTATAAATGAATAATATTACACCAAATAAATAAGTAAACACATGTATATATTCATTCACTGGCCATTCATTTAGAAAATGTAACTCCAAAAAGACAAGTAACACTATTTAGCATTTTGCCTAATCATTCCTGTAGCTTCTTGGCTAAACTAGCACTGTCACGCAGTTCCACCAAACACATAAGTAATATATAAAAACAGAGAGATTACATTCCTTTCCCGTGGTGGAAGTTCAACATCCGAGTCACTACTGTCCGGATCCAGGTCTGGCTGGAGGAGATCTTCATCATCCGACGACGAGTCATCTGGTATGAGCTATCGTCAGCTAGCATCTCTAGCACCTGCTCGGTGGTGAAGCTCTCCCTTCTGGCTGCGTAATGCGTAATGAAGCCGGAGCAGGCGTAGTTTATATTACGCAGGATCATATCTTTGGAACCCATTGGTTGATTTGGGTGATTGACACCTTTTCTGAACCGTTAGAGCCAATATAATCGAGTGACAGTTATTAAGTCCCGCTAAACACTTACGTCAAGTAGAGAGAGGTTTGCGTAAACAGCACGTGAGACAGCATTAGCTCGGGACTGCAAAACGTTTTACCTACTCTGCTGCCATGAATGTAATAATAGATTATCAGGAACAATTCTAAAGTGACTAATAGACATTGGATTAACCTTAAGCAGCGTTTGTATTCCCTTGAACACGAGCTTTGATCACAAAACAGCAACGGTAAGACATAATTATTGTTATGGTTTTGAAAAGTTTTTTTTTTTCTTCTCTGTTCTGGCTGATATCTCAGTGAGTTTGTGTCCTACAGTGATGATACTTATAACAACATAATCTGTGGAGTATCAGCTTTCAGATGATATGTAGTTTGTGCAGAAAATATTAAGTTTTAAAGATCGTTTTTGCTAGTTAGCACCGGAAGTAGCATCTGCCCGTTTTAGCTAAGGGCTAATGCTAACGCTTCTTGTGAGACTTGTGTTTTGTTTCGGTAAAAATGGTTCATATAGCCAGTTAGCTGAGATTCCTCTCGTTAATCTGGTATAACACATTAATAGGTTTTTAAATATTAAGATACCCTGAGACACAGTGTCGTGAAAAAAAAAACCAGGGTCCCCGCCGGCGGGGACCTTCGGGCTTAACAGGTTAATAGGTTTTTAAATATTAAGACGCCCTGAGACACAGTGTCGTGAAAACAAAACCAGGGTCCCTGCCAGCGGGGACCTTCAAGCTTAACAGGTTAAACATATAAGGATATCATAAAAATGTCCACTACATTCTCCCCTTTTGATCATACTTGATCAATAAAAAAAACAAATGACAGGATAGACTGACACATCAATGAATACACTCCATCGCTGGTTTGAGTAAACACATCACAAATATCATATATCATAGAAAACTGGCTGTTTTTGTGGAGGACAGACTCCAATATAATGTAAGCATAAGAGGAGGGTACTCGATTCACATGGATTATTTTGCAGTGGCGAAACCAGACTCTTCTGATTCTAGCTGGTCTATCTCACTGTGGCGCAAAGGATTGTCGTGTAATGAAATAGCAGCATACTGAACGAAAGCTGAGGATACCATGCTGGAAACGCATTTCTTCAGTATTGGGATAATCAAACAGGTACAACTGATTAATAGGCCGAAAATGATCGCCAGGGCAAATATGCAGAGGAACCATTCTATGATTGTCCAGGCTCTCCAGTAGTATCCGCACATTGCACACGGTTGCATTGTCGTCTTTCCAGGCGAGCCCTCATCACGAGGTGGGAATGCTCCATGGGGTGTGTGTGTGTATTCCCTCGTCAATTTTGTGACACGGACAGTCAGACTCTGCACACCGGTAACACAAACGAGGAACCAGAGAGCATATGGAACCGCTCAGCTGGCACTCGCTCGTGACACCTTGTGTGTAGTGTGTTTTGGTGTATGTAGTGCAAGTGTGGTGCTGGTGGTGACTTGGACACGTCACTTGTTGTCGTCTTCCGTTGGTGACTAGGACACGTCACTTGTTGTTGTCTTCCGTTGGTGACTAGGACACGTCACTTTTTGTCGTCTGCTTCTACCGTTTCTCCTTTCCTGTGACTACGACCTTGCAGTGGCTGGCGTGGACCCACGTGGCTCTCTCGGCGACCTTGACCGCTGTCTGGGTGACGAGAAGCACCTGGTAGGGACCTTGCCAACGATTGGATTTCCAGCTCTTTCTCCGGAAATCCTTGACCAGCACGAAGTTGCCGGGTTGGAGATGGTTAAGTGGACCAGTGGCAGGGGTAGGTCAGGCTGCTAAAGTGGATTACAGGTTAACACAATATGACAACATAGCATCCTCACACAAAGTTGTGGAGGGAAGAGGACATCCTGGAGCCTTGAGTCCAATCTGTGGAGGAGCCCCAAAAAGGATTTCAAATGGGCTGAGTTGACTCCGTGTTCTTTTCCGCATCCGCATGTACATCAGCACAATGGGCAGAGCTTGTGTCCATGACAGACCTGTGTCTGCACAGCATTTTGCTAGTTTGTTTTTTATTGTGCCGTTCTCTCTTTCCACCGCACCCCCACTCTGTGGATGATAAGCACAGTGCTTTCTGATATCCATGCCAAGGTATTCTCCTTTCTGTGCATAATGCAAATTAGGCATGCTTCACACACTGTAAAAAAAAAACCGTTGAAAAACGGACAAAGTGCTGGTAATTTGCTGCCAGGACATTGTCCGTTATTCTACAGATACTTCCGTGAACCCTTTAACGGATATTTCTGTAGATTTACAAGACTTTGTCTGTACCATATACGGACACTTCCGTGAACCCTTTAACGGATATTTCTGTAGATTAACAAGACTTTGTCTGTACCATATACGGACACTTCTGTTAATCCTAATACGGATAATTCCGTATTTTAACAGTCCTTAGTATGTACTATTTACAGACACTTCCGTCAATCCTAATATCTTAATCCGTAATAAATAACAATCATTACACTTTCAAGCAAACTGAATAAAGCACAATATATAGAAATTAAACAAAATGTATTTATTTTTTTCCATAAAAGTGCATTCATTTCCATTAAATTGTAAAACCCTAACATGACCATACATTCAAGTATGTAAAATAACAGCAACAATAACCTTTTTCTTAACACCATGATGTTAGAGGTCGGGCTGTGTGTACATGTGCGCCTCAAGATCAAATTAGTAGTTATAAATTCCTCCCACTGTTTGCCACTGCTGTTGCACCCTACTGGCTCACCTGTCAGTGAGGAAGGAGGAGCCCCATCCAGGAGGATGTAGCAACTCCGTCCTACACCTCCCACTCAACATTCCCCGCTGATAGGCGTTGCCCCAACCTGTAGGAGAACATGCAATGACAAATATCACCCTCCCAACTTCCCTCCCCCCGAACATGGGGGATTTGAACCCAAAAATCTGTGGTGGTGGGCAATAATGTTACCCCTCGCTACCTGAGTGCCATAAAGTGCATAGAACATGCAGTGACAAATAAAAAAAAAGTAAACTTTTTTTTTTTTAAAGTGTGTGTTGGTATGTTCAGTCCAAAAGTCCAGTCCAAAAAGTTCTGTTTTGAGCTTTGGGGAAAGCTCACATGTGCCAGTCAAATTCCTTCAGCTCAGTCACGAGCTTCGACAGTTTTGGAGGAATGTGGTGCTGTTTCTTCCCCTTCATCTCAGCCTTGGACCCTCGGTCAGGATTCACTCCAAAGAAAACTCTAAGGAAACAGAAATATGTTTAGCTACACATGCAACTAAATGAATGAAACTGAACTAAAGAGTAACATGCAGACAAAGCTCATATACTACTTGTAGTGTGGCTCTACAGGAGTGGAGCCGTCTAAAATAGCATACATTTGTTTTCTCCACCATGCCCGTGTGTGTGTCCATCTACAGCTAATGTTGCAAAATACTACTACTACAATAACACTTTGCTCCTGTAAGCTGAGCAACTCAGACAACGTGCTGTTAAAGTCTGCTCATCACCAACATACTATACTGGAAATGTCAGCATAACCCGTGCACCTGTGACTTGTGTGGATATACTGTACGTGCACTGAACGATCTCAGGGCACCGTTAACTCAGTGCATGAGTAGCACAGCTAGTAGTCACGAGTGCTGAAAGAAGTTGTGACGATTGATGACAAAGTTTTAATCTGAAATGTATGTCTAAAATTAATGAACAATGAGCAACGGCATGGTCTATTTTGTGACAAAAAAATATATAATTTACATGAGCCGTCAAAAATGGCCGGCGAGTCTGTTGTAAACAGTCCTGTCCGGGAAGATTGTTTCAATGACAGTGGGACCTCTGTCTGGTCCCTCTGAACCCGTTCTGGATCACCACTCCTCGGTGGTGGTAATAGGTTTGCATTTGAGAATACAAACATTATGCACCTTTACAATATGAATTAACAAAACTATTATTTTGTGCTGACAAACTAGGCTATATAGTGCATTTAGTGACTTTTCCTGTCATAATCACCACTGTGACATAGCCTACAGCAGCCTACTGTAGCAGCCTCTATATTTTATATGTAACATGTCATGGTATTTGCTGCATTTATCGTGGAGTTGTGTGTTTGTTAAACATGCATATACAATTTAGAGGTGACAGTATGCAGTGTTATAGTTTGTTAAATGCACAGGTGAAAATTTGACAGGAAGAGTTACTAAATCCACAATGGTTTTGGTTATTGGCTACATAGTGGTTATAGGTGGATCATGTTTGTTTGTATTCTCATAATGCAGACCAATCCACATAATCCCCATAGGCGAGTTGTGATCCGGTGCACAAAGACGGAGGTCCAGATTTCATTGCAGCAGCTTTACAGGCAGCCAAGGTAAAGAGGGTTGATTTATTTGCATCGATTATGATTGTACACAGTCTATATACATTTTAGTCACAAAATAGACAACATAGTTGCTCAATTTTGATTTCACACATACAACCACTGCATTAAAACTGCATCTAAATTTGCTATTTTCAATATCGCAGTCTACTTGTCAGATTTCAGTCAATCTTAAGTGTGACACAACCACTAAGCTCATCTGCAACAAGAGCACAGGCGTCAAATGTTGAGTGGAGTGGTAACTGTGACACTCGGTGCAAATGTACACGTTACACAACAAGTATTAACATTGGGGCATGAATCCTGGTATGGATTTTGTTATATTAGTCACAAAAGCAGCTCACATAGAATAGCCTAAATGTGTGTCTTTGGTTAAAGAGATAGCTCAGAGATAGTTGTTAGGAATATTGTACATGTTTTCCCAATCACCCAGTGTCAGAGCCTAATAAATGCCAAATGCCTTAGGACAGACCTTTTTTATGTACTTGGTGTAGTCTGAAGTTATATGAAAGAGCATGGGCCTTCAACAGGAAGCTGCAAAATGTGCTGCCTGTGTTATAGGAACATTTATTAACTATTGAGGGTTTAAGTGATTAAGTGATGGTTTGATAATACACATTAACATGAAACAAACAATAGAAAAGATAATGTGTAAGCAAACAAACTTTACACAACACTGGTGATTGTGCTGTCAAACAGGTCTATTAATTCTATGAAAAAGTTGAATCTGCAATACAATTTTAGGCAGTATTTGGGTCCCTGGTTCATCTCTCTCAGCTAAGGGGTCCTTGGACTGAACAACATTGAAGACCCTTGTCAAAGAGCAATGGCTATCTTGGCTCGATTGTAGAGTGTCAATGGGATCAAAACATATCATATATATTATATTTAATAATCATGATCCTATACGCAACCTGGAATTGAGCACAACTATGCTAGTAATCTAAGGGAAGATGAGTGGATACCTTTTTACATGCTTTGTCTGGTGGGAAGCCCTCAGTCTCAGAATTTGAATACCCCAGCTTATACATTTCAAAACAATGAGCTGCTTACCTTTGCATGAATTCCAGGGTAAGAGACATCTCCTTTGGATATTCAATGTTGCAGACATAAAACAAGCAGAAAGCATAGCTCAGGGCCACAATGGGGGAGGTGATGTGGTCATTCACAACTTCCTGATCAACAGCAATCTTGAATAGATGGTCACCTTAAACATAGATCACAAAAACAATATGTATTAGTCATTTAAAAAAAAAAATAACAACGTACACATGCGCCAAATCTTCCATACTCAGTCCAAACACAGGTTATGGTAAGAACAAGCAACAAATACTTTGAAACGGTATTCTGCATTTAGTTTGTCAGACTTTACATACAAGTGTGCTTACATTTAAAGATTTTGGCCCTAATCAACATAGTTCTGAGCACCATTTACAAAACAAAATCAACCAACTCTATACCTTTTCATCACAACAAATCGTCTCATCAGTAAACCTAAGAACAAATGGAGAACATATATCCAAGCTTGCTCGGATGAAAAAATGATTCAACTACAAACCTCTGATTAGGATGCATGGGGTACAGGGGAGGCTGAGTTCAGCATCCGCGGAGTCCTATTTTTGGAAAATAAAACAACAAAGATACACATGAATGTGATGATTTTATTTTTCCAATGTACACAAACACACAGTCAGGCAGGCAAATAGACCATCTGCCAGTGTCTGTATCAGAGGTAGCGGCTAACCATAGACAATAATGTTAATAGTAGTTATAACAAATTATTATTTACACAAACATAATCGATTAATGTTAGAATCAGAATCCTTTTCGGTCAGGGGGGGAAAGTCTATCCTTACAAGACCTTGTTCTATTAGGGGACAGCATTTGGTCCTCCAAGACAGAGGAGCTCTGCCGGGATGGAAGTGTATAATTATATGAGGGATTCTCTCCTGGTTGGGAAAATAAATCAAGGATTTTACTGATTTCCTTTTATCTTCGTTTCCAGGAGAGATGGTTTACCAATTTCGATATTATCAGCAGCGCAAAGTGGGGTTTAAAATCCATAAAATGTACCTCATTTTTGCAGAAAAGGTGATCAGGGTTTTCCTTGAAGTATCTCACAATGCCACAGATCAGCTGTACTGGACCTTCACCCATCTTCATCCCTTTGGTGTCAAGGAAGTTGTTGATGCCCGGTTCTTTTTTGGAAAGCTCCTGTGCCAGCTTGTTTTGTACCGAAAAGCCAAGGAGTCTAGATGCATGATCAAACAGGTGAGCAGCTTCAAATAGAAATGGCCACTCTTCCTTTAGGACCTTTACATTGGTTCCATCGTTGATGGTTTCACGCTGGATGGGATATGTTTCAGCCATCAGTTTTCGAACAGATGACTCCTAAAGATATGAGGCAACAGTTAATCAAACTAATAAATTCAATCAATAATAAAACGAATTATCAATATAAATACAGATAAATCGATTTCGGGTGAAAATAGCTGATATACAAGCGCACAACGAGTCCCATTGTGAACTTGTCGATCAGTTATTTTTTGTTAATTATACAAAACCAATTTGAATTGATCAAACTCAAATATTAGCTTCTCCATTACTCAATCAAAAAGTAATCCATACATACACAAGAACATAATGGATGGTTGCAGCCCTACCTGAGGATCATGGGTTTTGAAGGCACTTTTCAATTCATTTCGTTTTGACAGCAGTTCTGCTCTACTCTCAGTTCCCTCGACAGCAACATCCCACTCCACACATCCATAACGATCGGAATTTCTTGACTTTTTCTTCCGCTGAACTTCACCCTCTCCACCCTCTGCTCGCCTCTTTCCTGGGGTTGATGTTCTCTTAATATTTTCAACTCTGTTTTCTAGCTAGGTAAAGAGAGGACCACAACCATCTTTTGCAAACGGCATATTTCCAAAGGGCTCTGTCTGTTTGAAAGACAGAGGATATTGTCCTACAATGTTCTTGGCGATTTCCATCAGCTTGGATCTACCAGGTCTTCCAGGGTGTTTATGGAGGTAATCATCAACAACGATCCGAACCATCTTTAGTCTTTCTTTCGACTTTACCCATTTCTTTTCACCCAACACATCCATGAGCTTTGAGGGCATTTTGTGCCATGGTATGGAATATGGCTCACAGGATGGGGAGTGGGCAGATGGGGTAATGGGCAGGTGGTGTTGGGGGCAGATCATCACTCTGTGGCAGAGGTGTAGATGTAGGGCCAGGGCTTCTGAACTGTGGTGCAGCTTGTGAATCTATGGATGACATACCCCATAAATTAACCACATCACCAATGATACTAATTAATTAATACACTGGTTTTCAATGTCCGTTGGAGACCACCAGGGGTACAAATGGACCCTTAAGGGTCTGTGAATTTGTATACAGACAGTATACAGGGTTGGGCAATATATTGATATATCATGAGATTATTGAATAGGATTTTGGGTATCATATTGTGATACCTGTTGTGTTTTCCTGATTTGAAAGAATGAACTGAACTTACGCAACTGTTAACATAACATAGTCATAAATACATAATAGTGATATTTGATTTTGTCGGTGTTGTCCACCCCTCAGTACTGTGCAGATTAGGGTTACAAATAAAAAAAACGTACCTCCTTGGAAAGCTTTAACGAGTCTTCTGCACTGAATGAGTGGCAGAGTGTCCTGAATGTCCGGGGCCTCCACAAGGATCAGGTCATCTTCACATTGAACCCCTAATTCCACCAGTCTAGCCATGAGTGCATCCATCTTATCACTACTGAGCGATGGTATGGCTTTCTTAACCAACTCTTTCACAAGCTCCATGTTGGCATGTGTTTAAGAGGAATGAGCAACCTTGCACCTCTCTGGTAAGAAGACAGTGGATAATAATCATTAAGTTTGTCCAGATTTTGGCAGCTGAACATATGAGACATATTTTCATCAACTTCATAGACTCCAAGCTCAGGAACCCAGCTGGCAGTTTTCCCCCGAAACAAAAGTAGGACACTCATTTAATTTTTTATGATAATGCTCGCTATTTGTCCTAACTGTAGTTGTCCTTTAGTATATCTCAGTAAGACAAGCATACCATTTCCATATGGCGTGCCTTTAACCTGGACCTTCTCTGTGACAACTGAGTTACTCGAGTCAAGTCCAAATTCTTCAACTGCTGTCCTTATGCTTTGGTCATAGAGCTCAGGATAGAACCTGGTGGAGTCTGAAACTTGAACCTGGGGGCTAAATAAACTACCGCAAGACTGATAGGCCTGAAACAACTGATGTCTATCAGCAAGTGACTTAGTTACATTTCTGAAGTTTTTACTTGCCCTAATACACCTTTTAAAATAAGAATGTTTCGATTCAAAGCGCATCGTCCAAGTATGTATGAGTGGGCCAAACTGTAAACTCAAGTGAGCATAGTGAAGCAGATAGTGGTGTTTCGGTCTAAGTTTAACTCGTGGGAATAACTCTTGCCTCGATTCCACATACAGTTCGATCAGATCCTTCATATAAGCAATCTGCGACTCTGAAAGGCGAGGTGCACAGACAAATTCAACTAGCTCCCTCAGAAGAAGTACCAGTTGCCATACTGCATTGTCAGCATCTTTAATACGGCCATGCACTAAAATAGGCAAGAATCTCAAAAGCCACCTGTTTTGGGCTGCATGGCCTCCAAGCTTTGCTCCTTTAATGGGAATAGCATTTTACTTGTTGCTGCTTTCACCAGGAAATGATTTGAGTCTGGCATTAAGGACCTCATAACTGAACCACTTTTCTGTTTTTATTAAGAACTGCAAACACATTGCTAAATCATAGTCAACCACACCCTCAAACAGGTCATGTGCAAGACAGGGCGGCAGTCCAGGCTGACACACGTGAAAGTGCAACACATCCTCACTCCCAGATCGGCCTATGTTGACGTTATGTCAAGTTCCCTGTCGGCTTTTTCCAACGCAAGGGGGGGGGCCTTAGCGGCCATTTTCAACGCAGGGGGGGGGCCCTTAGCGTCCATTTTCAGCTTTCCGGGATGTCCATACGCTTCTATATAGCTCCCTAAACGTATGTTGTAGACGACTTGAGATCGCGAGCGAATGCTACCCGCCGCGGGCCATTCTCTGCTGAAGCATACGTTGCGAGACTGCATTGCATTAAAAACATTATGCTCTCTATATATTGTCTTTATTATGCTTTAAATAGTGTCTCGGGCTTTGGCTATAGGGCAGCTCAAAGGATTTTGTCCGGCCGTTGTGAAAACTGCTTTGTTTATTGTCCTTGTTCATCCTCACTCCCAGATCGGCCTATGTTGACGTTATGTCAAGTTCCCTGTCGGCTTTTTCCAACGCAAGGGGGGGGGCCTTAGCGGCCATTTTCAACGCAAGGGGGGGGCCCTTAGCGTCCATTTTCAGCTGCTTTGTTTATTGTCCTTGTTCATCCTCACTCCCAGATCGGCCTATGTTGACGTTATGTCAAGTTCCCTGTCGGCTTTTTCCAACGCAAGGGGGGGGGGCCTTAGCGGCCATTTTCAACGCAAGGGGGGGGGCCTTAGCGTCCATTTTCAGCTTTCCGGGATGTCCATAAACTTCTATATAGCTCCCTAAACGTATGTTCTAGACGACTTGAGATCGCGAGCGAATGCTACCCGCCGCGGGCCATTCTCTGCTGAAGCATACGTTGCGATACTGCATTGCATTAAAAACATTATGCTCTCTATATATTGTCTTTATTATGCTTTAAATAGTGTCTCGGGCTTTGGCTATAGGGCAGCTCAAAGGATTTTGTCCGGCCGTTGTGAAAACTGCTTTGTTTATTGTCCTTGTTTTTGTTTTAAATAAAGCATTTTCAATCGACGCATGCCAAACATGTGACGTCATATGATGCGTTGCATCTGCGCACAGGGAGCAGGGAGACCCCGAGCTCCGTATTCCCCGTATTTTTTAAAGAGATTTTCAATCACAGGCGCGCATCAAACGTGTGACGGATATGGTATTAAAAGTGGTAAAAATCACTACAAGTCTGGGCATGTTGAGAGCTGTACATACACACACAAGGGGAGTCAGTCGGTTCATAAGAGCCAGCATGCGGGAATATGGGATTTGTAGTCTTTCTCGTTGCGTATTTTTCATAGTCTTATATTTCAACAGTTTTACGACAAACTGTGACTTTTTTGACATGGAAATTATTATTTAAAATTGACAAACATCATATGTGTAATTCGTGGCACAATTCAAACGGGATCGAAAGATAATCTTTCTCTCACCATTGACTTCAATGCATACTTTTTCCGAATAAGGTGGAGTAACCCGGAAGGGGAGGGGCTTCGCCTCTCTTCAATAATAACGCGTGTGTCGCGTCGCACTTATTAAAGTCCTTCGATGAATAAGGTAAGAGCTTCATTCGTAATTTGTGCATAATCTGAGACGACGAAACCCATTAAATATACACCAAAACTGTTATTAAGTCCAGTCAGCAAGTATTGTAAGCACCTTAAGAAGAGCAAGGTAGTCGATTTGTGAGTTTGTGAATCCTTTTAAGACATTAATTTAAAATACAACTTACTGGACTATGCTAGCTACCGGCTACTAGCCATTAGCTATTATTCCTTAGCTATTAGCTCGTATAATTGTACATGTTAATAAGGTATGACTGAGTGAATTGACTGAATGACACCCAATAAGAGCAGTCCAAATGATTATTCCTACATGTTTATGACAGATGTGTATCTTATGCACAGCCCTTCAAATATAGTGTTACTTTTATTTGTCAAATATAATCATACTTTCCCTTTACTTATCCCACAGAGGGGACATTTACAGACATTTAACCTTAATTAAGAAGAGGCATGCATACATTTAAGATTTTTAAAAAAAAAGACAATTTATGAAACTACACATCCAGGTTGAACACAAAGATAGTGTAAAAGAGGGGGACCCAAGTTCCCATCAGCAAAAACACGTGGGTTTGCTATCCTGGCTCCAAAATGGTGGAATGAGCTCCCCATTGACATCAGGACAGCAGAAAGCTTACATATCTTCCGGCGCAGACAGAAAACTCATCTCTTTCGACTCCACTTCGAGCGATAGAACTATTAACAAAGCACTTATATACTAATAAAGGGCTGGCTTACCTAAAGCCAGTTGAGTAGCACTTGAAATGTTTTTGCTCTATGAAACCTGATGTACTTATATGATTCTGTTTTCTTCAAGTTTGTATTTTGTTAGTCGAACGCACTTATTGTAAGTCGCTTTGGATAAAAGCGGCAGCTAAATGCAATGTAATGTAAAAGGTACCTTGGCTCATTTTCTAAATATTGTTTCTCTTCTTTCCACACAGGTCTTTTGAAGTTGATATACCCCTGTGATACCCCTGTGATCTGCCATTCTATCACCCACCCAAAGGCACTTTTAAGAGCCACATTTGTTTTCTCAATCCGTCCTTTTCAGTGTGCCTTGTCCTTACCTGTGTTGCTGTCTGTGTATCTCTCTCCGTCCCTCTCTCGCTTTTTCCCCTATCTGTGCTTACCCCTTTTTTTGTCTTCTCTGTCTGTGTGAGTGTTTCTGTCTGTCTGTTTGTCTTTTTGGGCATCACCATGAGTGATTCAGAGCTCCAAAATGTCCTTAACAGCCTAGATGATCTTGTTGAACAGGCAGATCAAGAAGAACCCAATAATGAGCTCCAAGATGTCCTTAAGACCCTAGATGATCTTGTTGAACAGGCAGAACAAGAATAACTCAATAATGAGCTCCAAGGTCTTGATAACTTGATTTCTAAGCAGCGGGATGAGGATGCAGCAGCACCAGTGAAGACACCTGAACCAATCGTCAATTGGAAAAACAGAGACGTCGATGGAAACCAAATCTTTGATAGACCAAAAGCAAGCAGGAATCTGCCAAATCAGGGTGAGTATCTAATTTTCATTTTATGTTGAAGAACTAGAATGTTTACTATCTAATGAGTTAGATAATTAATTGATATATAAGGAAAACAATCAAACCAACGGCAAAATATGTTTACATTTGATAGGTAATCTGACATGATTATAGCACTTGACCAGATTATTTGACTAAATCTAATTCTATCTAAGGGTTAATGAAGACATTGGAATAGTATTTATGGTAAAGGTTTTTGTTTTGTACAGCTGGTCCCAGTCGGAGGAAAGCTCCTCGTGTTGATGCTCCTGACACTGACTGTGAGATGGTCTTTGCTCCAGAGACTGTTGGTATGTAATGTATTGTGTTTCTCTAAGCCTAAATCAGTATCTCCATATGTCTGTACTTGTTTCTGTGAGATGTGGCACTGATTTGGAAATGTTAATTCCATGTTTGAATTTTAAAAACAATTTATCATAATTATAAACATAGCTGTTAAATATTTCCAAGCCACAGCTACTCCATACAGTAAACTTTGATGTAGTATAAAACAATGTTTTTTTGTTTCATTCCTTATCTTTTAACAGAGTGTTTTCTACAAGATCTCCAGCTATCACTAAGCGATGCCTCTGGTGATGAGCTAGAAACATCTGCTCCAACAGCTCCTCCTATGGCTTCTTTAGACTGGGGCACAAGAAAAAGTCTCTTTTTAGAGAGGTGGAAGACTGAGAGGCCCCGTCTGATTAACAGCACAGCAGCACAAGAAAATGTTGCAAACCGTATCTGCCAACAGTGTGGGAGCAATCCAGCTGCTGTCCGTTGTCGTGACTGCCGACCACGCCCTTTCCTCTGTGCTGAATGTGATGTTAGCATGCACACCAGACATGTACTTCACAACAGAGATGCCATGACAGCTGGATTCTTCCAGCCATTACCTCCAACAACTTTTGTTGCTGACAAGGCTCTTTCCCATTGTGGTAAGTGTTTAAAATTAATTTCATTATTGAACTTTTAGAGATCATTGGTCATTAGACATTTCAAACAATGCCCCTTTGACTCATATTTCCTTTCATTTAATTTGTAATCTTGTGTATACTCAATATTAGTTAGTCCCTCAGTACTGTTTTAGCAATGTACGTCATTGTCTGGTTTGATAAATCTTCACATCACAAAGCGTCCTTGGGTTTCGTGAAAGGCACTGTAGAAATTTAAATTATTAATGTTATATTTCCGAATCGAAACAAATGGTCTTAATTCATATGTATGATCTTTTTCAGTTCGGCTTATGCCTGTAGAAATGCCTGAGAAAATCTGTGGATGCTCAACAGTGTCCTTAAGGGTCAACCCAGGAAAGGTTGTTGCTGTGGTCACAATTAATGGTAAATATGTTAATATTTGTCTTGTTTGAAAACTACTAAAATATATATATATTTAACAATTATACAACACACAAGTGTTGCCATAGATGTGTGTGTGAATTTTACATACAACTATTTGCTACGTTTTGCATTACAATTAATGCGTTTCGTTTTTTCTAGGAAGACACGATCTCAGCATGCCTGAGTTGAGTTGTCACACATGTGATGCCACTTGGGCTGCTGGATTGGACGATCTTATCCAGAGTGGCTACTGGCCTGCAACACTTCACTTCTCTACAATTTATGAAACAGATGTGTGTTATTCATTTGAAGAGATGAAGATGGCCGCACCAGGACTTTCCTGCCAGGCATTTTTAAGAATGCTGGATCAAAGAACTTTCCGCTTTGGCCGTGTGAGTACTAGATTTATGTATCCTACAGTATTGATCGTCTGTTGGTTTTGTGGATTTAAAATATGTTAGTTGCATACTTTCTTCACTGAATTAATGGTTAATTTATTTTTTGGAAATAGTCTGGGAAGATCTCAGCAGGCAACTTTCAGCAAAGTTTTTTTGAGTGGGAGGCTGTCCGATTTGAGGTGGAAAACATCTGCAAAGAGGAGAGCTTCATCTGTCCTGCGTGCACCCCGGATATGCTTGCGGTTTCAGTGGATGGAAACCGTAAGCACTACCGCTTCAAGCATGCAGCTAGGTACTCGGAAATGTTTCTAATCTCCGTGTTTAACTCATAACAAACAAAACTCTGTAATATAACTATCCTGACACCTTTAAACACTGACAAAAACCTATGTTGTATTTAGATCCGAGGAAAAGGCCACATTTGAAGGCGTCTTCATTGCCAAGGATGAAGAAGTGACACGATTTGTGGACTATATCCACAGGACAACTAAACATGTAAAATGACATACTATAATAATTATATTCGTAATTATTCTTAAATATATATACAGGTTGCCTTCTATTTAATATGTTAAGATTATTCTTTGGACTTTTATCAACCATTTTCAATATTTTAGGTCTCTGGAAGAGGTGTTTGTGGAGGGGAGTGGTCCGCAGCCAGAGAGACTTCCCAAAGATCCACCAGCAAGGTAGACGAGGAGGGCCTGGAGCTTGCGGTGTGTCGCCATGGAGTACTGCTCTGTGCACTGAATATGTACAGGGGAGAAATATTTGCCTATCCCTTGTACTTGCAAGAAAAGCTGGCCAGCAGGAATATCACTTTTTTTTGTATGGATGTCACATGTAAATGTTGGCCCTACCTTAAAAAAGTTACAAAGAGCTGCCCAGAGCTCCAGCACCTTCTCCAGATGAGGCCCTTCCTCTCGGTATTTCATGCCAAAGCCCATGATTTCAAATGCGAGGTAAGGAAACATTACCAATTGCTAAAAAAAAAAAAACTGTTGAACACCTAACCTTTTTTTTGTTGATTTGAAAAGTATATATATTTGTTTTTAACCAGGTGAAATGGAGTGGGGCGTATCAGGAGGGGGCTGGCTTAACACTCGGAGAGGAAGTGGAACAGTGCAATGCCTTTCTCTCTAGGATTGCTGTAACAACCAAACACATGACAAAAGCAGGTGAGACGACGACATAATGCTCTTATAACATCCTAAGCACAATAGGTAATTGGAATAATGTAAAAATCATATTGTATGTGTTTGCAGGACGCACAGACATGCTTACTCTCATGGCCATGCGCTGGAATCAGCAAAAATTCAGAAATTTGGCAACCTCACTGTGTCACCGATATCAGAAGGTAAGGACATCAGCAATGTGTTTTAAGATGCTATATGTTTTGGCATTATTCGAAGCTGTGGGCTGAAATAATTGTTCTTGTTGGCTCTGATTGTTTGTCATTGTAGACCACCAAAGTTCTGCAAAACCAGTTGCAGAACTTGGAGACCATGAAAGTGCAAATGGCAGTGACAGAGAGCAAATTGGAAGACTGGGTCAATGATGTCAAGGAGTGGGCAGAAGGTAAGGGAGGCTATGGCGCAGTGGCCTAGTGCGTTGGTGTTGGGATCAGGGGGTCACAGGTTCAAACCCTGAGACACTTCACCCCAAATTGCTCCCGTGGGGATTGTCCACAGTATTGAGTATGTAAGTCGCTTTGGATAAAAGTGTCTAACAAGTGACATGTCATGTACTGAGGAAATGATTAACATATATGACTTTAGAAAAAGTAACGCCCTTCTGCAATTTTGATTTTGATTGAGGCTCTATACCTAGACCAGTTTGGTTGAAGTCCAGGTATTTCAGAAACGTTCTAATATTAAATCTTATTAACTCACTTATTTCTTTCTTAGCCGCAAAAACAACAACCACCTCAAATGATGCTGATGCCTTGGCCAGCAGAATTGAGGTGCTGGTGGCTAGTATCAAGAGACGATCCCAGCGTCTTTATAAAGACACAGACGGCAGCAAAGGTCGTGCCAGGATCCGACGCAAGATCAGGACAGAGAAGGGGATCCTGACTTCTGTTGTGGAAACTTACAACCGAATGGTTGTAAGTACAGAAACTCTGTGCTTGGAAACCATTCTGTCTGGCGAGACAGCTTGGCCATGGCAGCAACCGCACAGTGGTATGTACATTAGTCTGTTGACTACTTCCAACAAATCTGACACATAACCCATAATGTGTCACATGTCAATCTGTAACCCCATAGGACTCTATTCATTTTAATTTCACATACACATGACTTAAGTCTTTCTCATAAATGCAATCCAGACTCAGTGGATCTGAAGACTAAAAGAAAGGCGTTTGAAATCATCATGGCAATAAGGAGACTTCAGGAGGAGAAGAAGATTGTGGTCACAGAGATGGACCACCATTGGAAAGCTCTCAAAGCCCGTGCTGATTCCCTGAAAGAGCTGTCCTGCCTTCTGCCCAGTGAGCCGATACAAAGTATGTATTCATATTTTAAATCCAATTAACATACAATGCAATAATGACTGTATTACTAACAGACGTTCTTTGTTATTGTTTTCTATTTAAGACCTGCCTTGGAGCCTAAGCGACGAGGGGTTGAAAGGGGTCCAAAGCATTGTCTTCAGGAAGAGGCAGAACATCAGAGAGATGAAGACGCACACCAGAGCGTGTTACCTGCAAGTTTTGTCTGGAGCAGAGAACATCAACTTCTTGCAGAGTGCTTCATCTGAGGATTTCGACAGTGACTCTGATTCCGAAATTGATTAGAAACTGACACCTTTCTCATACTGGACAATGAACTTAATTCTGCAAGACTATCAGTTCCCATGTATGCCCTACTTGCACTAAGAATCTAAACCACTCTGTGGCTACTGATATTCACTATTTCCCAGGATCTAAAATAGACAACCAACATATACCGTTGTCATCGTTCATTCACAATTATCTGAGGAACACTGTGGACACAACCTGGTCCAGCTGCTTCCCCTCTGGTAGCAATACAGATCACTCATATATCATTTTATATCTGATATCACTGTCCATATAAATCCTCCACACTGTATTTATATATATATATATATATATATACTATGAAAACTCATCTGATCCTTGTATGTTCTTTCTAAATAAATATCCTTTGCAATATTTGTAATGTTTACATCAGACACATCAATGTTTGTGTATGTATATTTGGGAATAAATAGATATATATCTGTGTACAGGTGTTATTAATTTATTTATTTGTTAGTATATTGTATGTCTACACATAATTAGTGTCAATATAGCTATTCTAGCTGTTAGTTAAAACATGACTTTCACAATAAGGGATCTAATTTCCTGAGATGCCAAGGATGCATTTTGATTGACAGTCTCTGTCTGCTGGAACTGCTACCTCCGCGATCCGACCACGGATAAGTGGGAGAAGATGGATGGATGGAGTTTTTCTGTTTTTCAAATGAACTTGTATAACACTTACATTTATCTCAGTCCAAAAACACAACAAAAATGACTATTATCCAATATTGTTTTAACTACATCATAACTTATATATAATATATATATATATAACTTATAATGCATTCATAACCGTACAATCCTGTTGTCATTTAATGTTATGCCCCAAAGCACATTACACCACATATTGCACATGTGTGAGTTCAGGTTCAAGTGTTGGTGTACATATTCTTTGAGAAAGGTTGAGTTCCCTTGGGGGGAGGGGCAGAGGGAGGGGAGACCAGGTGCATGTTGCGAAAAAATATTGTTACAGTGGATGAAGGGGGAGGGGTGTCTAAAGTCAAAGATGAATCTTGATTGGGCCAAATTTGACCCGAGTCACCCACAACAATTCGGCTGGGTCTCCCCAGACCCCAACACCAAATTATACACTTTTTTTTTTAGAGACCTTCAGACTTGGCTAAAATTGTCAAAAATAAGTGTTGTAGTGTTTCTATAGCTGCTGTGGAGGATATCATGAAGCCTTGTTCCGATAAACAAACTAGAGCGTAGTTATTATATAACTTTAACTTGAAACGGGTCACGGGACCCCCGAACACAACATAAGGTTTAATATAAGTGCAGGAAAGTTGATTGTCAAGTCCAACAACAAACTATACAATATATTAGACTTTAAGTACTTTGTCAGGCTTAATATTCATCTGTAGATACCCCCAACGTTTTTTTCTTATTTAAAAGAATACCTTAATTTAAAGTATTCTTTAATGTTTGAATAAAGGTTAATTAGTTTGTCTGTTTTGCACATCCTCCTATTAATATCTTTGTATATCCGGCACTAAACTGTTTTATTGTAGAGATCAGTTACAGCAGGGGTGTCAAACTCAAGGCCCGTGGGCCAAATCCGGCCCTCGACCTCATTTTATGTGGCCCGCAAGATCTTGCAAAGATTATTATATTCAATACAATTGGTGTAATTGTTGAATATTTGCTTTCAATTGTTTGCCCTAGACTTCTGCTTTCAGATGTAGTTATTTGTGAAGTTATTACGAGAACTGATAATAATCCAATGCAGAGGCAATAATGTAATATAATACATTATTTAATATATATTATATATTTACATATGTATATTTATATTGAGAAGCCAAGAGTGTGCAAAGCTGTCATCAAGGCAAAAGGGGGCTAATTTGAACAATCTAAAATAAAAATCATATTCTGGATTTTTTAACCATTTTTAGTTTACTAGAGAATTCCATATGTGTTCTTTTATAGTTTTGATGTATTTAGTAATGATCTACAATGTAGACAATTATTAAAATATATAAAAACATTCAAATGAGAAGGTGTGTCCAAACCTTTGACTGGTACTGTATATTTATAGTTACAACCGGCCCTTTGAGTGTAACCATAATGCTATTGTGGCCCGTGATGAAATTGAGTTTGACACCCCTGACTTACAGCATCTTCTTGATATTTTCATCTATGTTTCTATCATTGACCATCTACTTTCCCCCTATTTTGTATGTACTCTTAATATATGTATTTTTCATAAAATCTAACATATCAAAGAAATTCAATAACATGCTTTAACCACTAGGCGTTTCAAACTGTCACGATAATAGTGTTAACACAATAAAATATACTACTGTTTACAATTTAGTTTATGACGTATGTATGTTGTTGTTATCCACATATTGTTTGGATATTTGTAACACCAAACCGACAGAAAAGAGGGTCTTAATAACATGACCCAGTGGTCTAGTTAATAAAACATAATACATATCAAACATAATATTACTATCAACTTTATTGTGAAATTAAAAACGGTGTCAGTTTCCGGTGTCCGTGTTGAGTCAAATCTCTGTAGATAAATAAAGAACTACGGTACGGGGTCGATGTGTAATATTGAATGCAGCCGAACCATTTTTTTTTACAATGCATTTATAATAAGCAGCCCCGTGCGTGGTCAGGCGCATTGTAGGAAAGCAAGACAATAAATGGCAAATATATGTAGAAAATAAACGTAGAGTTACGTCCAAAACAAACGTGAAGTGGGAGAAAATACGTTTCTACCTAAACGTAATTGGGAATGCAGTTTATTTCTGTCGGAACGTAATTTTGACGAGACAGGGTTGGCCTGTGATATGAGAAAATTAAAACTTTTGGGTAGGGCTACACCAAATATATTGTTGGAAAGACCTCGACCTGCAGAGTAACATATGTCAGTATGAAGACCCTGCATGGCTCCTGCTTTGAAATATCGACTTTTCAACCTTGACATCCGTGCATGTTTAAAGGCTAATTCTGCTATAAAAGGGGCTACAAACATGAGACAAACTGTTATAGGGAGCTCTTAACCACAGCTATCATGATGTTAATTATAATCACATATATATATATATATATATATATACTGTCAAGTTAACGCGTTAATAAAAAATTAACGCCACTAATTATTTTAATGCGATTAACGCAAGTGTATTTTTTGTCCTCGGCCGCCCCGTAGTTTCAGAGCGCATCGAGTTTAAAATACCATCTACAAGCTGATGCTGACAGCCCCGCTCCTGCTGCCCGCTTGCGGCAGACCACACTTCCACGCTCGCCGGCAGGCCCTGACTGGCCATCGGGAGGACCGGGAGGGTGTGTGTATGTGTGGCGCGAACGAGGCACACCTTGTGTTGTTGTTGTTGTTGTTGTTAGCATCTAGTGCTAGCTAGCTGCGCTAACAGATATAAGGAGCTGTTTCAATGAAAACAGAGGAGCGACATTTCACCACAACTGCGCCGAGCACTTGACTTTATGCAGGAAGCCAGACAGTGGGACATTGTACGAAAAGTCAGCACACGACTCAGCACTGATAGTGTGCGCAACATGATTGCAGCGTCCAGGCAGCTCCCGTTCGAGCATATATGCCTTGAGCTGCACATAGCTCCAACGATCCATTACAGTATATATACACACACACACACTTTGTATTGTATGAGAGAGGTTCCAGGTTGAATTGAGGCGAATATTTGTAATGTTCAGAGTGTGTGTGTTCATGAGAATTCATGAGAATATTTGTCATTGTTCAAATGATAATAAAACATATAAAGCATATTTGTCCACTCATATGTTGATAAGAGTATTAAAAACTTGAAAAATATCCATCTAGAACAGATAAAAAATGTGCAATTAATCGCGATTAAATATTTTAATCGACTGACAGCCCTAATATAAATACTTAATGTAATTATACTTTTCATCAATATGACAATTACATATTGATAACCTGATCGTGCAGATATGTTAAACCACATTTATACTATTAAATGCACTGTCTATTTAGTATTTACAACTTCATATTCTAGAAAACAAAGCTAGTTAGATAGTATTTATATAAAGTGTTTTCCGGTTTGCAAAGCAAGAGGGTTGTAGATAGGATTGTAAAATATATATGTATTTCAAGAAAATCAATTGAGTGACTCGCTGTGCTTACTGTCTCAATAAATATAGAGCCCATGATCAAACAATAAGTATTTATTTTTTAAATACTAAATGACACTGCAACAAATAAAACACTTCCATATCCGAAACATTTATACAAATAAAAGACATAGATAAATAAACACAGTAAACATATGTAGGCTACATATTGTACGTGTTGACTGGATCCACAACATGTTGACCAGGCAGCTCTCATGCTGAACCAGAGGGACCTGGCGACTCGGGTGTGGCAGTGAGGCACTCAAAATTACAGGCAGGCTCCCATGTGTTATCCCAGGTTCTGTTACTGTGAAATGCACAAAGTGTCATTAGAACAAAGATCACATTTCAAGATCATTGATGAAAAAATTAAACACAAACATATTTTACCGATAAATGATTTAGGACTCATTTAAAAGAGTCCTTTATTATTATGTGTATTAAAAAGGTCCCATGTCATGGCCATTTCTACTGATCATAATTCCATTGTTGAGGTCTACTAGAATAGATTTACATTGTTCAATGTTCCAAACTCACATTGGTTTCTCACAGCATCTCTGTATAGTGTGTGTATTCACTCTCTGTCCTACACGGCTTGTTGGAGCTCCTTCCTGCCCCCCCCCCCTATGAGCCCACTGTGCTCTGATTGGTCAGCTCGCCCACCCTGTTCTGATGAGTCCACTACCGTTACAGCGGAACATCAGAAAATGACACCAGTAATGACAAACAGATGAGAATGCTGCGTGGGGTCTGGGGGCCGTGGTTTTTCACGGCACTTGGTGTATATCCAGCATCCAGGGAAACACAGCGGGACATCCACCTCACACTGTCCGCTCCTGGGGCCTCGTGGGGCAGACTCCTGAGCTGCTCGGGAGTCTGCCCTGGCAGAGTGTGCCTATTGTTCTATAGCTGTGTGCCTATTGTTCTATAGCTGTGTGTCTATTGTTCTATAGCTGTGTGCCTATTGTTCTATAGCTGTGTGCCAATTGGTCCATTTGGACTTAGTGACGTCAACCTGCTCCGGAAGAAAAAAAAATGGAAAAAGAAAAATGTCCAACGAGGCGTTCTGGGGCAGCATAGACAGGTATTTTCTGTGTTAGTGTTTTACTCGCTACAGGGTGTACTTTGAGGGTGTGTGACGCTGCAGACCGTTTACATGCAGAACACGCTACATAGGGGACGGGTAATAACCGGAAAAGCATGACATGGGACCTTTACATATATAATTGGAGGATGAAACCCTGTTTAATGGTCACACATACATGCAC